CCTCCATTCATCTGTAAAATAAGCTGAAGAAGGAAATGGAAAACCACTTCATATCTTTGCCAAAGAAAACCCCAAAGAGGTTCACAAAGAGTCAGACATGACTGAAACAACTGAACAACAAAATCAGAAAGCTGAATTAGCTGATCTCTGTGGACCTTAGAGCATCTCTAAGAATCCAGTGATCCTTTGTGTTGTAGAAAGAGAACAGAGAATAAGCACTGCTGAAATTCAGTTGCCTCTCCTGCCTGTCCTCCCACCTTTTGCTCCTGGTCCCAGAAGAGCCAAGCATGTGACACTGTCCTTCCTCTATCTAAAGGAGCCAGGGCTTCTTGTGGTAGAGCGTGTGACACATTGATAATGGCTGAGTATCAAGCACATTTCCTGCAACGTGACACTGCCCTGGCTCTTCTCTTTTTGTGGGTCAGAACAGCAAAAGAATGACAAGGCCATCAGTTGTTGTACAAGAATAACTGGTGCTGGGAAACTCCCCGGCCCTTTCATCCTTCCCAGACCTGAAGCTGCAGGGGGTGTTTTGTCTTGTGTGTGGCAGATGAAACCTTGTGAAGCCTTTTTAGAGGCCAGAATCATTGATCTCTAGGTCCCTTCTGGAGACGTGCCCAGGGTCACAGGTGTGACAGAGGCAAGACTTATAGACAAGTCATCCTGAATCTGAGGCCAGCTTCCTATGCACCATCACATTGCCTCAAAGTCCAGACTTAGAAGTATAAACACATCTTGGGCTCATCAGACCAAAGTGGATTTATGACAAAAGGACAATCCTCATGGAATATGTTATAAGGAAAAGTGAATTTTGACTAGAATGCTAAAGGAAATCTCAAGTCTAGGCTAAATACCACCATCTTTTATATACATTTATGTATACATACATACATATGTATCTTATACACATGCACACAAATATAGGTATCCATGTATATGAACATGTATGTAATTATATGAATAAAGGGATAGGGGACTGTACTTATGGTTTCATTGATATACATGAGGAAACTCCTTCTAAGATGCATGTAGATACCTTCTCTGAAGCCTGGTCTTCAGGAGTTGCCTAGAATACTGAGAGGTCAAGTCATACTCTCAGAGTCACCCAGCCAATAGATAGCAAAGGTAGAATTTTAACTCAGGTCTTTATGGTTCCAAGGCCAAGTCTGTAGCCTCTACACCCAGGCCACCTCTCGTGATTACATATAAATAAATGAATGAATAAATAAATAAATGTATATGTATATCCATACACATATACATATATACATTTTACGTGTTTATATATAATGTATGCATATGTACACATATACTAATAGCCATAAAATTAGGCTTATATTATTATATTATAATTATATAATATAATGGCATTATATTGTATTACATATAACATAATATATACATGTAAGTTATATATACACAGCATTCTATGTATATGTACATATATGAATATATGTATGTGCATGTGTGTGTGCATATGTTGTTGTTCAGTTGTTTTAGTTATGTCTCACAAAGATATTGGAATAGTTTGCCATTTTCTTCTCCAGCTCATTTTACAGATGAGGAAACTGAGGCAAACAAGATTAAGTGACTTGCCGAGGATCATACAGCTAGTAAGCGTCTGAGGCTAGATTTGAACTCAGGTCTTCCTGACTACAGACCTGGCACTCTATACACTGAGCCACCTATTTGTGTTATTGTGTGTTACGTGTCATATATACATACTCAAAAATGTTAAATGAATGAAGAGTTAATTGAAGAGCTTCCCCAATGTTAAAATTGATTTGAGTTTAAACACAAATAATATAGAGTAATCTTAATCAAAGAGAACAAAATCTGTCCAGGTATATATCTCAAGATCTTCAGTCTCCCTAGATTGGACACCCCAACGTGGCTTTTATCATTCACTTACCCAGTGTTTTACTTTTATATGTGGACTGATGCCTAAATCAGCCAGTGTGGTGACTAAGACAATTAGCCTTATAGACAGACCCTAGATATATTTCTAGAACCAAACTAAAACAGTCATCTAGTAACATAGGTGAAATAGTTGGACTCTAGGTGGCTCTGAATCATCTGCCTGTGCCCTTCAGTAGGAGAAATGAACAATGGTTACAAGTACCTGGAGTAGCTGGAATCGATTGGCAGGGAAGTCAGGGGTGGAAAGGAAAGAATTGCCAATGTCAGTGTGGTCTGGAAAGGGCACCTGCAGTTAGAAACCAAAGGATGTTTTTTACCTGAGCCAGGGTAAGGCCCAACCTCCTTCACTCGGCATTTAAGGCCCTCCATGATTTTGTCCCTAACCTTCTTTTCCAGCTTTTTATCTCACGTCTTCTCTATTTGAACCCTGTGTTCTAAGAGCCAGAACGCTCTGTCCACTTACTACTTGTCCCCCGCAAAGTACCTTTTACTTCACTAGTGCTGTCTGTTCCTGCTGTCCTCTCTGACATGACCTCCATCTCCCCTCTCTCTCTGCCTAAATTCTGCACATACTTTGTGACCCAGTTGAAATCCCTTGGCTTTTTCTCGCACAACTACATGGCTCAGTCACCTGTAGCACCTACCTTACAGGGTTGTTGTGAGATCAAATGGGATTAAACTTAGCATGTGCCTGGCACATAATAGGCACTATATAAATGGGTATTCCTTCTCTCCCTCCCCCCCCACATCTGACAATTTATCATGCACTATCTCATCTTATCTCTGAAATTATTGTCTTGCCTAGATATTTTTTTATCGTTTTCCTCTAATTGGATTGTAATGTAAGATCTTTGAGTGTAAAGCCCCAGGCTCATAGTTGTATCTCTTTCAGGGCTTTGCTTACAGTTAATTGATTAGGCAAGACATAACTTTCCAGTTGCTGGAATAGCAATGAACAGGGACAGCCAGAAGCAAAATTATAAATAGCAGAAGTTAGTGGGCAGGATCCCCAGCCTTCCCTTTAATCACTCTTTGCCATTTCTTCTGTAGGCATTGTCCTGTTTCTTCCCTCCTACCCTCTCCACACATTCACATTTCCAGTTCCTTTCATGTTCTTTCTTTGTAAGAGTTGGAAGGGACTTTAGAGGCCTAATTTCCCACTTAGATGTGAGGAAACTGAGCCCACAGAGGTGAGGGACTTGCCCAAAGTCACAAAGGTAATAATTTTCTAAGTTGAATTTTGATCTCAGGACCTCTGTCTGACTCCAGGTCCAAAACTCCTTCAGTTATACCAGTTTTCCTGATGATTAAAACTAGGAAAGTATCTGATCTCAGTCATTTATACTTTAGTGTAAATATAGTCCATCTGTTTCCTTTCATATGGGAGGTTTACATTTTAATGCCTTTTAACTTCTTGTGAAAGGTTTGGTTTTTCTTAATGAGATTTCATACAAACTTGGAAACACTGGGTCCCTTCCTAAGCACCTTTAAAATTATACTATGTCGGCCACGATCTACTTTTGTTTTGTGTAAGACTGACCCTGCCCATGGCCATCAACAACAGCTCTTCCAATATAAAATTCTAGTAAAACATAGAGAACATCTGCAGCAAAGAGTTAACAATGAGTTGTATTTTTATTTTAACTAGTAGCTACTTCTTAACCTATCTTGTGGGCTCAAGCTCAACTCAGGATAGATGTATGGATGGATAGATAGATAGATGGGGGAGGAATACATACATACATATAGAAAGAGGTGGAGGGAAGGAAACACATACATACCCATAGAGAGAGGGGAAGGGAAGGATAGATACTTATATATATACATACATACATAAGTACGAGTAGAGAGAAGGATAGATAGATAGATAGATAGATAGATAGATAGATAGATAGATAGAT